AGATGTAATAACCCTCGTCACTGTTTACCGATAACTACCGATTACTGAATAAGCTGAAACTGATTAAGATTGATAATTGAACTGATTGAGATACTGAACTGACTGACTGAAATATGGAATTGAATTGACTAAGTATATCTGTTTAACCGTATGTCTATCTGTTGACTGTTGAATTATCTGTTCGTGTCTTTGTGTTTAAACTGCTAATTGAAGGCTTTATCGGCGGCCGAAACGGGAACCGATAAGTGTTTTATGACCATCGTAATTTATGTGATTTTATGGTGTAATTATCTGGAAACTGGTTAGGTATGATTAAATTAGATTGAAATGAGTTAAATTGCATAGTTGGCCTTATCTACCGTTTTGCCACTTAATTGGCCCACTACTTGAACCTTTTTGATCTTCTCATACACTTGAACAAAACATTTCTTCCCCCATTTCTTGCACACAACCGACCATAGAGAGAGTGAGAGTGAGAATTGAGTTCACTTGTAGATTTGCTTGGAAATTGAAGGGATTGAAGTATAAATTTTCATAATTGAGCTTCCTTGCCTATAATTCAAGACTTAGGTAAGAGAATTTAACCTTCTAGTAATGTATTTGAACTTGTTCATGCTTAGTTCTTGAGCCTCTAGTGATTTGAGCCTTGAATTGGTCCATGTATGTTGAATTGGAGCCTAGTTCATGCATGCATGCCTTTATTTTGAAGTTTTGAAGTTGTCTTTCATAAAAATTGTACATGCATGCTCATATTTTTACAAGAGACCATGAACTCATCATGTTTTTGAAACATTTGGCTCACTAGAGCATGAAATTGAAGCTTTGAATTGGTTTGAATTCATGCATATTTTCATGTTCTCCATATTCATGAAATTGGATTTAGTTGAAACACCCTTGGGCCTTGATTCTCCAAATTGAGTTTTGAATCATGTTAAAGTATGAGTTTTGATGTGTTTTCTGGAAAATTGGCCCAAGAGGATCGAAATTTATGCTTTAAAACTTGGTTTTGAGCTTGAGGTTCAAATCTGGAATTTCCAGAATATGGACTCACGCTCGAGCGGGGTGACTGGCGCTCGAGCATGGAAATCGTGCTCCCAGTATTTTTGTTCTGTTTTGAATTCCGCTCGAGCGGAAAAAGTGACGCTCGAGCGGGAAACTGTGTCTCGCGCTCGAGCGGGTGTCGAGCGCCCAATCGAGCGGGATTTTCGCCTATCCAGCACTTTTGACTGTTTTGCAGAACGCTCGAGCGGGTAAGCCAACGCTCGAGCGGGTAAGCCTACGCTCGAGCGGAAACCTTTGTCTGCATGTCCGCTCGAGCGGAGTAACCTACGCTCGAACGTGACCCCTGTTTTCTGAAAAGTCTGAAAATGCTTTTTCAAGTGCATCTTTGCATCTTTATCTCATTCTAGGCATTCTTAGGCCTAGTTTAAGGCATTTTATTGAGGATATAGATGTAGTGTGTGTTCAATCTGTTAACTGTGTAGGATTGGCTTTCTGAGGAGACGCTCTAGCTTACTGTAGCCCAGAACTCTGTGAGTAACGATTGTGTAAAGATATGTTCAAAATGATTATTTTCTGAACAACTGAATTGTACTGTTTCTGAATTGAATACTGTTAATTGAATGAATGTATGTCCTATATATTGAACTGTATTGTGGCATCCTTAGCAACTACTGTTTACTGTTACTGTTACAGAGATCTCTGTCGGTTCCCTTGTTGGAACCACTACTGTTTACTGACTGATGGCCATCACTACTGTTCTGTCTTTTAAGACCTACTGTTTACTGTACTGTTATACTAATGAATGTACCACATATGACTGTACTGACTGAATGACTGAAATACTGAATCAATGAACTGTTTTTATTACTGTAAGGACATTCATTCTTAACCCCTTTACGCATTGTGTTATTCACTAGGCTTTAGCTCACTGCTCATATATATATGTAGGTGTACAGGCACCAGACCGCGGCTAGAAGTGTCGAGGTAGACTCCAGTTTTGTCAAGCCAACCTACGTGCCTCACTGCGAGGTTCCGAACCTGCCATGCTTTGGCTTAGGGATCTTTTTATTCTCAGGCACCAGACCGCGGCTAGAAGCGTCGAGGTAGACTCCAGTTTTGTCAAGCCAACCTACGTGCCTCACTGCGAGGTTCTGAACCTACCATGCTTTGGCTTAGGGGTCTTTTTATTCTCCCCTTCTGTACTGTTTTGAGAACTGAATAGAACGTACTATACTGTACTGTTAACAGGGATTGGATCCCTGATCGGAAAGATTGTATATTTGTACATACTGTTTTGTCTGACTGTATATCTTTGAATGAAAAGTCTTTTTGCATACAGACTGTCACAGCTCATTGGGCATTGTTTATTTACTGTATTGGCTTCTGCCAGCCCCTGTACTCTGTATTACTGTATTAATGTTAAGCAGGCCTTCGGTAATCTCGGATTACTGGCGGTTACGGTGCTAAACCCATAGAGGCGGGTTTGGGTCGTGACAGTAGAACTCGTCGAGTACTATATACTTGTAAAAAATCACGTTGATCGGATATCGATAGCTATGTGAACAAAACAGTTTTTTATCAACCGTTAATTTTTTCACCGTCCATTTTTTTTTTAATACAAAACTGATTTGATCATATAGCTATTGATATCTGATCAACGTGATTTTTTGTAGGCATATAGTGTTCGACGAGTTCTACACATTGAACGGTTCAGATTATCAAAACGGGCCCAAAAAAGGGCCTCATGGGCCGGACTGGATTGGTCCAGTCTTGATCTCAACTTGAGACAAGCTGGACCCTTCCGCCTATTAAAACCTCAGTTAAAGACTTGGTAGTGAGAGTTGACAACTCATCATTCCATTGGCGAACTTCCATATCAAGTGAATTTCTCTAATAAAATCGTGTTTTTTTTCTTCCACCAAATAATATTGTAATGGATAGAAGTTTGTTTCATCGAGAAATGGATTTCTTCTTGAAAATCTAAAAATTTTGTTTACGCCAGAAGATTTCATCGAGGCTATTTGGAATGGACGAATTCAATTCATTTTTTATTTCTTACACTGGCGTTTAAAAAAAAAATTGGCTTATTTTTCCTACAAAGGAAAATACCATAAATGCGAGTATCAATAATGATTGAAAAATCCTTACAGATTAAATTCAAGCCCATTATCAAGCGATTGTGTTGACGGTTCTTTTGCCTCAATGAAGAGAATTTCAAAATTGCCAAGCGTAAAGAAAAGAAAAAAAAAATTAAAAGAAGAATAAGGGAGACGGAGAAAGATTGAGTGAACAATCGGGGTGGTTAAGTAAACAATCAAACTAACCATTAATTTACCTCTACTCCTATGCTTCGAAAAGAAAGTGCATAAAATAAAATGCAAAAAATTTACCTATATTCCTATACTTCGAAAATGAAGTGCATAAAATAAAGTGCATGAAATATAAATAACAAAAAAAATAAAAATCAATTGTCTTTGATTTGAGTTCTGAATCCTTGTATAATATAGCCATAAATAGCTATTTATAGGCAAACATATGTAAGAAAAACTACCTAATAATTACCACATTCTTCCATTTTTCATATTTCACACTCCATGATCTTCCACTTCATCTTTATGTTTCTATAATTTCTTTTAACTTTCAATTCATGCTCCATAATCCTCCACAGTTTCCATCATCTTTTCACATGTGTTTAATGATTCATAACTCATTACCTCCAAATGAGTAGGAGAGTGTCACGTATCATGTAATTTATCAATAATAATAATAATAATAAATTATTTATTTTGATCATTTTATCTAAATTTATCATGATGAACAAAGAAAATCAACACTTGATCTTTTAGACAAAAAAAAAATTTAATTTTGGACTTTTGGTCGAGCACCCTAAGTGAAACATTCGGCCAGGTTGGAATCTGTAAGTTTCATTCAATCCACAAGATAATTTTTTCAATTGTTTTTTATTTTTATTTTTTACTCATTTTAATCCTTAAAAGTTTAAAAATCATAATAATTTGTTTCAATGACTGACGTCCTTTTAAAAAGACATTTTTAGTATTTGTCACGTGTCCTGCAATTTAATAATAATTAATTTATCAATAATAATAATAATAATAATAAATTATTTATTTTGATCATTTTATCTAAATTTATCATGATGAACAATAAGAAAATCAACACTTGATCTTTTAGACAAAAAAAAAAAATTAATTTTGGACTTTTGGTCGAGCGCCGTGAAACATTCGGCCAGGTTGGAATCTGTAAGTTTCATTCAATCCACAAGATAATTTTTTCAATTGTTTTTTATTTTTATTTTTTACTCATTTTAATCCTTAAAAGTTTAAAAATCATAATAATTTGTTTCAATGACTGACGTCCTTTTAAAAAGACATTTTTAGTATTGGGGGAAAAGGAAAAAAAAAAATATGTTAATTATTTACTCTTTCAATCTCTTGATTTTTAAGTTTTATTTTGATTATGAATTTAAGTAAAAAATTAAATAAATAAAATGAATAAAATGTAATTATATTTCATCTAATTTTTTTCTTTTTAAATTTTTACTAATTTATGATTAACACAATTTAAAAAGATTCAAAATAAGAATTTCGAAGAAAAATTAATTTTTCGTTTTTTTTATTTTCACTAATCTAAACTAGTGATATGAACTAAAATGTATTTATTTTCTTCACTTCTCAAATCATTCAATTTAAAATTAACCGTAAGTTCTAAAGTTTTCAAAACCCAACTAAACATCCAAATTCAAGCAATCAATCATTGTCAATAATCATCCCAAGTAAAACTCAAAAAGATTAAAAATTGATAAGGTAGAACAAGAATCCATAAATTTACTATGTACGCATGAAATCAAATCCCAACAAAAACAAATTTACAGAAAAAAAAAAATCTAACCCTATCCTACAAAACCCAAAGATCGAAAATGGAGTCCGAAAGTTTCGATCCAGAACCTCGCACCTTCACTGATCTCCCTACAGACGCACTCAATTCACCTCAGGAATACTCTTCAGAGCAGGTCTCCACGACCGTTGATGAGTCTCAAACCGATCACTACCGTTCATCAACAACTGGGATAGCATCTGTTGCACAGACAATCCCTGCACGTCCATCTTACCCAGTAACTCCTCCAACTGTTTCTTTGTAATCTTGATCTTCACCTCCTTCACCGATGCCGGAGTTCCAGACTTCTCTTCTATGTTGGTGGCTTTATTATATGATTTTTCGCCAGAAAAGAGTGTTTCCGATGCCGGAGAGCCCCAATCTTCGCCTCCCCATTGCATGGAAGACTCTTTTTTTATACAATTTCCCATTTTCTTGGTTTGTGTTTTTTTTTTGAGAGATTTTAAGAGAGAATAAGGTCTAGGATATGGTTGGTTTGTGGAATGGCATTTATATAGAGAGGAGGGAGAGGAAGGTGGTGAGATAGGGGGTGTTTGGTGGTTAAGTGGAATAAAAATAGAGAAAATTATTACTTAGTCTCCGACAATCAAGTGGACCTAATAAAAGTTGTTTATTAATATTATTTAATTGTAAATTTTATTAAATCAGAATATAATTAACTCCGGTCCAATTATGCCTGCAAGGCTTATCACGACTTTCATTATGAAAATTCTCCTCATTTTGTAAACTTTTATGGGCAAATTATTTATAAAAAAAAAATTATATTGATTGGATGCTTATATATAGCTTTTTATAATTATATTCAAAAAATTAGGTGATTTAATTTTTTGTAAATATGAGAAAAATAACTATAATTGTTATATAAATTTGTTAGTAATTTGATTTTTACTTCTTTATCTCAATCCACACACTTCACATTCCAAATATATCCTTACATTCTCTGTGCATATCTTCTTTTATGATAATTGATTTCCTGAATAGGTGCCTATTTTGTAAACTTGTAATCCATAAGGTCCTAAATATTTTTTTGGTGACTGAGTGGTCCCTTAAATTATTTGTTGACTGTTTTGCCATTGTTAGTACAGTTGGGAGACAAGTAGCGTGGTTATGTATAGGTAAGGTGGTAGAGTATTTGTGTGTCACGTTGTTCGAAAAATACACTAGTAGCTTTTTAAAGTTTGGTTGTTTTTAACACGCACAGAGGGGAGGAAAGGGTCAAGCCAATATGGATTGCCACATAAGAGAGAGTAAGGGGGGGAGGAGGATGACGTGTGGTTGACCTCAGCCCACCCACCTATTTCGGTTTTTGGGTCTCATCAGCTCCAGGCATGTGGTGACGCCAACTAACACTTTAGCAGTTGCAAAGCACTGAAGTGGCTCGGCTTGCCTTGCCTAGTCCATTACTTTCCTTTTGCTCTATCATTATTGTTTTTTAGGGAGTTGTTTGGGATGACTTAAATAAGTGTATTTTTTATTTTTTTTATAAAAAGATGTGTAAAAAAATAAAGAAGTGATGTAATAGAAAAAAGATAAAAAGATAAATTATTTGAGATATGCCAAACTTGGCCTAAATACTAATTCATCTCCCAATTTTACTCCCTAATTTTATCAATAAAATTAAATAGGTTTTCGAGAGAGATGAGTATGAAATCACTTCACATAAGAGTGGATCACGTCATTAGAAGTGAAATTGAAAAGACAAAATTAAAGAATATAGCACTATTCTCTCTTTGTCATCGCTCAATTTCGTCTCATGTATCTCATTTTTCTTTTTTTTTTTTTTTCCAATTTTTGATACCTTGATATTCAGTTTAATGGATTGATTAATTCAAAAGATCAATTCCACAGTATACTAAGCTTCCCCACCTATCCTTACCACCTTAGTCCTATTTTCAGCCATTCTTTACTCTCCTTGGCTCATTCTCCTTGAACGATACCCTTTTTTTTTTTCTCATTCTTTCTCATTATTTTCTAAATACAACAAATATTGTATATCTCTAGTATAATATAAAAAATTTATCATCTCAAATGTCATTATTGTATTAATAATAAAAATGAATTGCAAGACCTCTTAAATTAATACAATTATCATACATAAGATGATGAATACTTTGTGATATATAAATATGATCATTATAAAATTAAAACTTAATGGTTGTTTGACAACTTTTAATTTTAATTAAAAAGTCAAAATGTTATTATAAATTATCACATAATTTTTTTTTTCATTTTTTTATATATCTTTTTATTAAAATCAAAAAATTATTAAAATAATATATTCTGAGACGAGACCTTAGTTCAATTATTTCATTTTCTTGTGATTTTACCATTGAAATGGAATGGTTAAGAATTAATTTTTTTATTTTTTATTTTTTATTTTTTTATAGATAAAAAATTGTGCATGAACCCACACACAATCAACCCACCAAAACACCTAAACCAAACAAAACAAAACTAAACCAAGACAACCAAAGCAGCCCGAACCAAACCAAAACAACATCTAATCAAACAACTCCTCTGCCAAGGCCCACTCCTCTGCTGATCAGACAACTCCTCTGCCAAGGCCTACCCCTCACGCCTCTGCTGCAGCCTCTATTGCTACAACCACTCCTTAGCTGCTGCCCACGCCACCCCTAACTGCTGCAGCTCCCACCTCCCAAAGCCCACACCCGAACTGCTAAACAAACAAAACCACACCGGCCGAGAATACTCCATAACCACCACCTGCGGCAACTCTCCTGCCGAAAACTCCAAAGCCACCACCTGCGGCAACACCCCTGATGAAAAACAAAACATCACCCACTGATCAGTGCCCACCAAGCCTTCTTCTTGCTCACACCCGAACTGCTCACACCCAATAGCTACGCCAAGCCTCTGCTGCAGCCCACGTCTATGCTGCTGCCCAACTCCATAGCCAACACATGAAAAATAAACCAAGCTGCTGCAAAAAACCATGCTACAGATCTTCTACTCCAAAGACACCTCCATACAAATGGAAGTTCATCCCTCAAACTCTCTCACGAGACGGAGCGCTCGAGTGACACCTGGACAAAAACTGGATCGCCTACGGCTCTTGCGACACCCACTTCTCCACCAATCTTAACCAGAAAGCACCCCTCAAGCTCCTACTCACCAGAAAGCGCTCGAATGAAAGTCCTGAACGACCCCCGCAGCAAGGTTGAATCGCAAACCCAACGGCCCCTGGAGACAAACCTGGACGACCCCTGCAGCAACATATAACACTCCTAGGTGGGGAAAATGAGGGATTCAAGTTTATTTAAAGAAAAAACACACAGGCAAACGCCGAAAACGAGCTATACCAGCCGACCGCCATAGCCAAAGGCGGCGGCCGGCCAGCCCAAACAGAGACCGGGGAAGGAGGTTTTTAGAAAGAGAGAGTTTTTAGAGAGAGAGAAAGTGAGTTTGGTTTTTTAAATGTGATTTTTTACAATCCCAACATTGTTAACACACATTATCATACATAAGATGATGAATACTCTGTGATATATAAATATGATCATTATAAAATTAAAACTTAATGGTTGTTTGACAACTTTTAATTTTAATTAAAAAGTCAAAACGTTATTATAAATTATCACATAATTTTTTTTATTTTTTTGTATATCTTTTTATTAAAATCAAAAAATTATTAAAATAATATATTCTGAGACGAGACCTTAGTTCAATTATTTCATTTTCTTGTGATTTTACCATTGAAATGGAATGGTTAAGAATTAATTTTTTTATTTTTTATTTTTTATTTTTTTATAGATAAAAAATTGTGAGAGGTGACACCTCTATTGGATTAACAATTGGATTACACCGTGATGAGGTCAAGATTATGCGGGTCCTACAACATTTACGTAGAAAACCAAGCCATGAAATTGTAGCGAAGCCAAATGAGAAGTGTGAGCGAAGCCGAATTAGTTGGGAAGCAGGGTAGCAGACAAACCCACCTAGCGAGACCTTTTAGGTGTGAAAAGGGTTTTGAAACGGATCTGTTTAGGTGTGAAAAGGGTTTAGAAACGGATCTTACAGATTAAAGTAAGGTGTGAACACGGCAAAACCAAGGGAATCTCTCTCTCCACTTTAGTTTCGTGCGTTGTTTATTCACGTGCGACCCTCTCACTGTAGTCCTGTCCCACTACATCACTGTCCACCTAATTAAAAATTACTTTCATAATATATATATATTTTAAATTGTATCAAAAAAAAATTTAAATTTTTAAGTCCGATCTGAAAATCAAAAAAAATTAACTTTTTAACCCTTTTTTTTTTTTTTTTTTTTTTTTGTTATATGTGCATTTATAATTTTTTATTTGTTTAGTTTTTTGTTTTTTGTTTTTTGTTTTTTGTTTTTTTTTTTTTAGAATTGACTAATAAATTCTGTTTTATGAACTTATAATTCATAAGATCTTAAATATTTTTTTGATGACTGAGTGGTTCCTTAAATTATTTGTTGATTGTTTTGTCATTGTTAATACAGTTAGAAGACAGGTGACGTGGTTATGTATAGGAAGGTGGTGGGATATTTGTATGTCACGTTGTTCGAAAAATGCACTAGTAGCTTTTTAAAATTTAGTTATTTTTAACACTCGCAGTGTGAAGACGTAAATTCATTACTAATTTTTTTTGGCACGTGACATGAAGAGACATAGTAATTCAATCAAATTGGATCCGTCACGTTAGAGTGTCACATGTCACGTTTAAGAAAAGTACACTAATGCTGTGTTTGGTTGGGAGATTTGGAAAGGAATTTGGAAAAGGTGTGTGAAATTAGGTAAAATGTAGGTATATTTTATTTACATTTCACCTACCTTTTCCATTTTTCTTTCCAAATCGCTCTTCAAATCCCCCAACCAACCACAGCATAAGGAGTTTTTAATTTTTTTTAAAGTGTCACTGTATACCCGCCACATTGTTACATTTAGAAAAAATATACTAGGGAGTTTTTTATATTTTTTGAGTGTCATATCATACCTACCACGTTGTCATATTTGAAAAAAGTATACTAACTATGAGTAAAAATTTTGAAGTGTCACATCATACCTATTACGCTGTCATATTTAGGAAAAGTACACTAAAAAATTTTTAGGTTGCGTTTGGTAAAGCTTTCTAAATATGATTTAAGAATAGGAGTTGTATTTTGAGTTTGTAAGTTTTGAAATTATGATTTAAGTGTGAAAAATTTATTTGGTGAAAGAGTTTTGAAAAGAGTGGGAAATTTTTGATGTGACATATGATATTTGATACAAAAACTTACAACTCATAACTAAACATACAACTCAAAATTCTATTAAAGCACATAAAAAAATTTAAAAAATTCAAAAAATATTTTTTTTTAATATATAAAAATTAACATATGTCAATTGCAAATAAATAAATAAATAAAATAAAATAAAATTACATT